TGTACCCTCTCAAGCGTGCGACCGACTCTCAAAAGTGCATTCGCGCTGGTGGCAAGCACAACGATCTCGACGATGTCGGCAAGGACAGCTACCACCACACATTCTTCGAGATGCTGGGCAACTGGTCCTTTGGAGATTACTTCAAGAAGGAGGCCATTGAGATGTCATGGGAGCTCTTGACCAAGGTCTATGGTCTGGACCCTGCCCGCTTGTACGTCTCCTACTTCGAGGGTAACCCCGAGATGGGTCTCGAGCCCGATCTGGAGGCCAAGAGCCTGTGGCAATCCGTTGGTGTCCCCGACGACCACATCTTGCCTGGCAACATGAAGGACAACTTCTGGGAGATGGGTGACCAGGGCCCTTGCGGTCCTTGCAGTGAGGTTCACTACGACAAGGTCGGCGGCGGTCGCAACGCCGCTCACTTGGTGAACGAGGATGACCCTATGGTCGTGGAGATCTGGAACAACGTTTTCATCCAATACGATCGCCAGGCTGATAAGTCACTCAAGTCTCTCCCCGCCAAGCACGTCGATACTGGCATGGGTTTCGAGCGTCTCGTCTCTGCGCTCCAGGATACCGTTTCCAACTACGCCACCGATATCTTCACGCCCCTCTTCAAGAGAATTGAGGAAGTTACTGGCGCCAGGCCCTACACGGACAAGTATGGAGCCGACGACGCCGACGGAATTGACACTGCCTACCGTGTCATTGCCGACCACATCCGTCTTTTGACCTTCTCCATGTCCGATGGAGCTGTCCCCAACAATGACGGCCGCGGATACGTCCTCCGCAGAGTGCTCCGCCGCGGTGTCCGCTACGCGCGCAAGTACTTCAACGCCGAGATTGGATCCTTCTTCTCCAAGATTCTTCCTGCTCTTGTCGACCAGATGGGTGAACAATTCCCCGAGATTGTCAAGAAGCAGCAGGATATCATTGAGATCCTCGACGAGGAAGAGGCGGCCTTTGCCCGTACCCTTGACCGTGGCGAGGCTCAGTTCGAAAAGTTCGCCAACGCTGCTATCAAGAAGGGCGAGAAGAAGCTCACTGGTGCCGAGGTTTGGAGACTTTACGACACCTTCGGATTCCCCGTCGATCTCACAAAGCTGATGGCTGAGGAGCGCAAGCTCGATATCGACGATGAGGAGGTCAAGGTTGCCCAGGAGAAGGCCCGCGAGGCTAGCAAGGTCGTCAAGAACGCTGCACAGACGTTTGCGAAGCTGAACGTCCATCAAATCGCCGAGCTCGAGCAGCAGCTCAACATTGCGAGAACGGACGATGAGGCCAAGTTTGTCAAGGGTGACTCAAAGGCCAAGGTGCAGCTGATCTACGACGGCAAGGGTTTCATCAAGTCAACTGAGGGTATCGCCGAGAACACTCCCTTGGGTCTGTTGCTGGACAAGACCAACTTCTATGCCGAGTCTGGTGGTCAGGTCGCCGATTCTGGTCGCATCGTCATTGATGGTGTCGCCGAGTTCAAGGTCCTCGATGTTCAGAACTTTGGTGGCTACATTGTTCACAGTGGTTATCTCGAGGACGGCAACTTGTCCTCTGGCAACGAAGTCATCTGCGAGTACGACGAGCTGAGAAGATCGCCCATCCGCAACAACCACACTGGCACCCACATCCTCAACCACTCTCTCCGGGAAGTTCTCGGCGATGACATCAACCAAAAGGGCTCTCTGGTCGACAACGAGAAGCTGCGTTTCGACTTCTCTCACAAGACGGGTGTGACTATTCCCGAGCTCAAGAAGATTGAGGACTTCTCCAACGCCTATATCCGCCAGAATGGCAAGATTTACTCAAAGGAGGTAGATCTCGATCTTGCCAAGGGAATCGAGGGTGTTCGTGCCGTCTTTGGCGAGACATATCCCAACCCCGTTCGTGTTGTGTCGGTCGGCGTTGATGTTGACACCCTCCTCGCAAACCCCAAGAACGCAGAGTGGCGCAAGGTCAGCGTGGAGTTCTGCGGAGGTACTCACGTTGAGCAGACCGGCCTGATCAAGGACCTTGTCATCGTTGAGGAGAGCGGTATTGCCAAGGGTATCCGTCGCATCATCGCCTACACTGGCGATGCTGCTCACCAGGTGCAACGCGAGGCTGCCGAGTTCTCTAAGCGTCTCGATGCACTTGAGGCACTTGCCTTTGGCCCCGAGAAGGAGCAGGAGATCAAGTCAACCCAGCATGCTCTCAACCAATTGACCATCTCGACTCTCACCAAGGAGGACATCAAGAAGCGCTTCGACAAGATTGTCAAGTCCGTCACCGATGAGCAGAAGAAGCGCCAAAAGGCTGAGTCCAAGACTGCGCTCGACACGGTCGCTGCGCATTTCGAGAAGAACAAAGACTCCAAGTGGTTTGTTGGTCAGCTCCCAATCTCCGCCAACGCCAAGGCCATTGGCGAAGTTGTCAAGCACTTCCAGTCCAAGGACAAGGAGCGCTCCGTCTACCTGTTTGGTGGAAGCAAGAACGAGGGTGCCGTTGCCCACGGCGTCTACGTTGGCACTGTAAGTTGACCTCCTCGTACGAGTATGGAAGTACAAGCTAACATGCAATGCAGCACCTCTCCTCACAAGGCGTTACCGCCGAGCAGTGGGCTTCTCAGGTCAGTGGTGTGATTGGAGGCAAGTCTGGCGGCAAGGAGCCTACCCGCCAAGGACAGGGTACCAACGCCGAGAAGTTGGACGAGGCTGTCGCCGAGGCAGAGAAGTGGCTGAAGGAGAAGCTCAACATTTGAGCGACAGAGATATCCCGCTGATGTGCTGCAACATGTCTGGCAACCAATTTACTTTTCACGGGGTCTAGATGGATGGGGGCATGGGCGAAAACAGGATATGCTGCGATTTCGAGCATGACCAAAGCAGGGAAAAGGAGTTGATCACTGGCAAGATGGGCCTGTAGTTCCTCTCTATGTATTCCAACAAAATTAAGGAAGACAATCTGAACAAAGTTGAAACAGCAGAGTTACGTGCTGCCTGTGTTGCGGAACTTTCCGTAGTCTAAAAGGGGTATATGTTCTTTTTCTCTTTCTACATTTGGTTTCATACAGTTACCAGCACACTTGCGTTCTGGTAGTAGCTCAGCAGAGGGTTTTCCCCGCTGCGCGTTTGGGTGTCTTCGAGGAACGCCCACCGCTGCATAAAGTCACCGTGCGACATGAGCCTCGTAAGCTTGCCCGTGATGGCCTGGTACATGGCCTCCATGGTTTGGAAGTCTGTGGGGAACATGATGTCAAAGTAGCCTTGGTGGACCTGTTGCGACCTTTTTGTTAGCAACGGCATTCATCATGTGTGTGTGTGTGTGTGTGTGTGTGTGTGTGTGTGTGTGTGTGTGTGTTCATTGAACGTACCAGAGGCGTCGTCACGGGCACCGTTGTGCGCTCGTACCGGGTCTGGACGACGGGGGCATTGAGGCCCGGTATGGCGTCGGGCAGCGAGTGGAAGTCGCTCGTGACGAGGCGGTGGCCGGGGAAGTACTTTTCGAGCACGTCGAAGAACTGCATGAGGCGGGTCGGTATGTACTCTGGTTCCGAGAGGTTCGGCATGAGCGGCATGCGCGACTTGAGGTGGCGGAGGACGCGGTTGGCGGGGTAGGGAAGAGGGTAGCGGCCCCCCGTAGCGGCGTGGCGGACGCGAAGGAAGCGGGCGAGGACGGGGTCGAGGTCGGGTGAGTAGAACTCGTAGAGGTCGTTGTCCGCGTCGACGAGGACGGAGCCCTGGAGGGGTTCTTCCGTGGCGAGGTCGTAGCGGACGACGTCGTGGGAGAAGTTGTCAAAGACCTCCATGGCGAGGAAGAAGCAAGGGGAAGGGACGCGTTCGGACCAGGAGAAGATGGACTGGTTGATGATTTCAACCTTGGAGGCGTGGCCGCGGGAATCGGCGGTGGAGAGGAGGTGGTGGCGCTGGAGGGAGGCGAGTGCGGGTGAGATCTCGATGATGCGGTACTGGGTGCGGGCGTAGACCTGGGGGTCGAGGTCGCGGATGTAGTCGAGGATGTTGAGCATGAGGGTGCCGCGGCCGGCGCCCATCTCGTAGATGATGAGGTCGTGGTAGGGGTACGTCGTGAGGCGGTAGTTCGAAACGAGGTAGCGGGCAATGGCCTCGCCGTAGTAGGGGCGGAAGAGCTCCGTGGGCGTGTGCCAGAGCGGGCGGGCGTCGTTGACGCCCTCTTTGTCGTCGAGGTCGTCCTCGAACTCGGTGTAGCGCCGGCCGAGCTCGCGGTAAAAGTGTGGCTCGTCGCGGAAGGAGGGGAAGTCGAAGGGTTGGCCGGGGGAGAAGATGACGGCCTGGGTGGAGAAGTAGCCGTAGGCCGGATTGTAGAGGCTGTCCTCGATAAAGTCGCGGGTGAGCATCTTAGCCTTGCGCGGGCGGGTCGAGCGGGCGGCCAGGTCGCGGGCGTTGAGGGTCGGGTAGGTGTCGAACTCGTCGGCGCGGTCGCTCGGGAAGAGGGAGGTCCGCTGCTGCCATTTTGACTCGTTTGTCCTTTCCTGTCTCTCGGATGTGGTCTTGACGGCGTAGTGTCGCCGTTGCTGAGGTGCCGCAGAGGCATTGGCAGCTCTTGAGGAGGAGGTGGATGATGCTGGAGCTGCTACGCCGCCGCTGTGGTTATGTTGGACACGAGGCCGGTGGTGGTGATGGCTTAGAGCCGGGATGCCGGCGGCAGTCGTGCATTGTCGCCGTGGTTGGCATGCGGGCCGGCGGAAGAGCTCGCGGAAGAGACGGGTGACGGCGGGGGAATCCATCCCGAGAAGAGGTTCCGATGGTCGTCGAGCGGGACGAATACTCGGTAGGGCGAAATGGGGGTCGGCTTGGGAAAGTCAACAAAATGGTTGCAAATCGCGGATCTTCGGTTTGGCAGAGAGGTTCGAACATGGCCCGAGCTCCCTTCTACCACGGGGCAGCTGTTAATCCGCCATAGCGCACATGCCCGTTCCTGTTCACCTCCACCACCGTGGTCCCCTGCCAAGGGATGCCCCGACGGGAGTTTCAACGCCTGAGGAACCTGGAGGCACAGCGCGGTGGACGGTCACAGAGGCACCGTTGAGGCTGAAAGGCAGGGGTCTAGAAGAGCTAAAATGACATCACCTGCAGTTTAGCGGGCAAATCCCCTGTAGAATAAGATGGTTGAAATTCATGCGCCGAGCACCTGTCAGTGTTTTTGTTTTCCGATACCGCAACCACGTCTCGTCAAGAGATACACGACGACAACAACAAGAGCTCGCGGGAAGAGTAACGCGGACGATGGAGCACGACACATGACACAGACAACATGTCTCTGAGTAACCATCCCAAAGCCTATGGCTCGGCCGCCCTAGCGCTCGCCTTCACGGCCGGCATTCTCGTCACCCTAGGCTTCAAAGACTTTTATCCGGACCTCGAACGCCGGTACCAGCGCCGTCGCAACCGCCGCGCGCGCAACAACACATCCACCGCGGACCCCTCGCGGCGTAGCAGCCTCTTCTGGGGCCCGCCCGTGCAACTCGAAGACCACGAGACTGCATCCGAAGCCGATGAAGCGGCGGCTGCCGCTCTTCTCACCACCCTCGGCGGTTCCGCCTGGAACCCGCCGCTGATCGCGGACGGCGTGGCGGGCGCCATCGGCAACACGCCCCTCATCAAGATCCGCTCCCTCAGCGAGGCCACGGGGCGCGTCATCCTCGCAAAAGCAGAGTTCCTGAACGCGGCCGGCAACACGCCCAAGGACCGTGTTGCGCTGTCCATGATCGAGGGCGCCGAGGCCGCGGGCCAGCTCGTCCCCGGCCGCGGCGACACCATCTACGAGGGCACCGTCGGCAGCACGGGCATCTCCCTGGCGACGCTCGCGCGCGCGAGGGGCTACCGCGCGCACATTTGCATGCCCAACGACATGGCCATGGAAAAGGTTGACCTGCTCCGTCACCTGGGCGCCACCGTCGAGCGCGTGGACCCGGCGCCGATCGCGTCGCCGGAGCACTTTGTCAACCTCGCCCGCCGTCGCGCGCTGGAGCACGCCGCCAAGGCCGGCGACGGCAGTGTCGGCTACTTTGCGGACCAGTTCGAGAACCCGGCCAACTTTGCGGCGCACCTGCACACCACCGGTCCGGAGATCGTGTACCAGACCGGCGGGAAGCTGGACGCCTTTGTCGCCGGCGCGGGGACGGGCGGTACCATCGCGGGCGTGGCCAAGTACCTAAAGGAGGAGGCCAACGTGCCGGGCCTGCAGGTCGTGCTGGCGGACCCCCAGGGCAGCGGGTTGTACAACAAGATCCGGCACGGCGTCATGTACTCGAGCACCGAGAAGGAGGGCACGCGGCGGCGGACGCAGGTCGACACCATCGTAGAGGGCATCGGCATCAACCGCGTCACGGAGAACTTTGAGGCCGGCAGGGAGCTCATCGACGACGCGATCAAGGTCACGGACGAGCAGGCGTGCCGCATGGCGAGGTGGCTGGTGGAGAACGACGGCATTTTCGCCGGCAGCAGCAGCGCGGTCAACTGCGTTGCGGCGGTCGTGGCGGCCTCGAGGCTTCCTGAGGGCAGCCAGGTCGTCACTATCCTGTGCGACTCTGGCACGAGACATCTCAGCAAGTTTTGGAAGCATGTGGCGGCGATGGGCCTGGAGGAGGACGATCACTCAGCTGATCTATTCTCAGTGCTCAAGATCGACCCGGCGAAGAAGTAATGATACACACCACTAATAGATCAACTCCCTCTCCATACTGCTTTGCTATTCCCTGCCCGGGTTCCCAATGGCTGCAGGTCTTTCACCCTGTGTACGAGATGAACACTCAGTTGTCGCAATGTCCACTGCAGAAAAGTCTTCTTCTGAATCCCCCCATATATCCCTCAGCAGTGGCGACAAGGGTATATTGTATTGGAAAGCACATAATGTGGCGCCATGATGTCATCAGATAGAGAGCACTTCAAGTGAATGTGGTAAGGATCAGGGGCGATGTAATAAGGTAGTGAGCCAATGCCAGTTAGGCACTTTGCAAGATGTCGATTGCTCCCAAGCCTCAACCTAATACAGGCCACATGGCTATGGAGTAATCAAGCCCCCCATCTAAAGTGTAATTCGCTCTCTGTGAAACCGATCATCGATAGCCACACATGCATCTGATGCCCGAAGCTTTTTATGTTCAAGGGCAGAGCAAAATGAATCAATAAAGGAGAAAATACGGAGGACCATTCCTCTTCCCCAACTCCATACCAACCAAGCCCGCACTCCCGAGTGCCAAATGCAGGACCATAATCCCGTGCTTCAATAACGGGGTATAAGTGAAAATCACGCCGTCAGTTGAAAAAATCGAAACCTCCTCTCCAGAATCGTACGCTCAAGAGAACTGCAACTTAGTTAGCATAGTTGGCAAAGAGAATCAAACAATGGCCAACAAACCTTCCAGCGGTTACCGCATACGGTACACTCGCAGAATGTCGTCATCGGTTCATCAGCACTGCGAGTCTGCGCCTGACTGTAGCTGACTTTCTTCTGGCCACACTTGCCGCACTTGAGAGCATCGCTGATACTCTTCTCGGCCATGGGAACCTGAGCCTTCTTCATGTTCTCCTGCTGCAGAGCATCCTCCTTCTTCCTCTGCTCTTCCGACTTGAGCTCCTCGTGGGTCATGACCACGAACCGAGCAGGAGTGATCTTGCCTTCCATAACATTGACGCCAAGCTGGCGGTTGCTCTTGACCTTAAGGTTGCTGAACAGGGAGCGCAGCTTCTCGCGATAGTCCTTGGTGACGCCCTTGAAATGGCTGTGGGCAGCCAACTCAACCTCGATGGCCTTATGGAGAACATCGTTGACGGAAGCGGTGGATCGGTATGCGAGGCCATTGTAGAGGAGTTCGATGCAGGAATCGCGAACAGCATCATTAGTGCGCTTCACGTCGGCGCCATCGGCCTTAGCGCGGCGAGTCTCGGTGTTGCCCTTGAAGGGTTGGCTCAGCGCAGATGACGAAGACGGTTTCGGGGCCGGGGCCTGGGTCGGCGACGGAGCAGCCGGAGACGATCCCTTCTTGATCTTGCCCTGCTTCTCGGCTTCGACCAGCTTCTTCCACTTGTGGACGAGCTCTGTAGCGGCGCGAGCAATTTCCTTGTTCGAGTTCTGGCGAAGCTTGCCGACGAAGACACCTGCTCTGCTAGACTGGTCGAGTGCAGACGAGGTCAGTTAGGTTCCGCCGTAATAGCAAACAAGGTGAGCAGGAACATATGCCAAGACCACGCATGTCGATGGAACAGTGCGATCCGCGACGTACCCGAAGCATCTCTTCCGTGGGGGCAGCCTCCTTCTTGAGTCGTTCAAGGAGAGCAAGAGCGGTCGCAGGAGGCTCGTTGGCCTGTACGACCTTATTGAGCTGCTTGATGCAGGACTCAAGCTCGCGTTGATCCATGCCAGTCGACATCGTGGGCGATTTGTGCGCAAGTGAATTGCGATGAGCGATTTTCCGGTGCGCGCGACGCGATTCTCGATTTGTAGATGTTAAGGAGTTGTACGGGCGTTGAAAGAAAGCGAGGCTAGGTAGAGGTAATGGCCATTTTCCTCAAGTGGGTGGTGGAATCGCGCCGGAGCCAAGTGGGGCAAAGCCTTAGTATCCACCTTACTGTCGTGTGTGCAGCCCGGTCCCGTCCCTTCCACCCGTCATACTTGTAAGGTACCTTCCCCCGGATCAGCGGTATTATGTTTCACCGGGATCCGTTCTGGCACGAGAGGCGTGGGGTGTTACCGTGCTGCACCCCTTCCCGCACGTCTTATCGTTGGACGTCCATGTGACGACAAGGGGAAGCGAAGCTTATCAAATGTCGAGTCACGCTGCCACATGGTCCCTGCTGCTGCCATTTCAGCGGATTCAGCGGAGAAGCTACCCACCTGAAGCTGTCCCCCACGACAGCTGCTGCGCATGCAAGGGGCAGATGCTGGAGCCTATGACGCCAGATGTTGATATGCTTGGGACGTCTGTAAACCTTCTCTAAACATCAACAAGCCTTGATCGTCCTTTGTCTCTGCCTATTCTTGGCCAACAACCGTTGCACCCGTTTCTGTTACTAGCTCCCGTCGAATGACTCACTAGTACGGACATAATATCCGGAATCATCAACATTGTGCCTTATATCAAGGCAGCTACGACCTCCCGACCCTGGCGGTCAACTTCGCCACTCTACGCGCTCGGCGCGTCGCGAGATCATCTATACTCCAAAATCCAATAGTAAATAATTGACTTGCCCATGGACGGAACATCATCTCTTGACACGACACAGTACTCTTGCCTGTCTGGTTGAGACTCGGAAAACGACCCTCTCAGCCACAGCCTCGAGGCTTCACCAATATTATTAGGCACGATGCCTGCACAACGTCAACAAGACCTACCCGTCGAGAGTTCTTGGCGCTTGGTGGAAGGCGGCGAAAACGACAGCTTCGACACGTCCATTCTCAACGATCTGGAGGAGGATGATAGCTTCCTGACGGAGCCGTCGCAAATGCCGTCACAGTCATTCAGCATCGGCGGTTCTCAAGAGTCGCACCACAGCGTTCAAGATTTCATGAACAAAGCGGACGATGAGCGAGTCATCCTTCGCTCGCCATTTCAGCCCACCGTACGACGAGACCCAAACCGCTCTCCCGAACCGGAGTTTATCATGCCATCCATGCGCTTCAGTTCTACTTCGGGGACGGGAACCAGCCCCCAACACAGTAGCGGTCACTCCTCGCGGACCGTTCGCCCCAGCGACGTCTCTTATCAGCAGCAGGACGTGCGGCGTCGTGCGATACGCCAAGCCAGCAATGGAAGTCCTACATCTGCCAGACGTGGCGACCCCAGAAGAGTGAGGGGTTACTACGATGAACCGGCTGAGCCCAAGACCGTTGCGGAGCGCCTGTCAGAGTCTCTTCCAAGTGCAGCCTTCAACATCCTAGCATGGATATTCAACGTCATTGGCATGGCCCTTGGCTATATCCAAAAGCCGCTGGCGCTATGTCTGGCAGTCTGGCTCTTCTTTGGCGCCTCCATAATGCTTCAAAATATGGTCACCAAGTCAATCACAACATCGCTCTCGCCGCTCTGCCGCATCCCGGGCGCGGCATACTTAGACCTCCCGTTTTGCCCCTCGTTCACTACTTCACCAGGCGGAGGCAAAGAGTCAGGGTCTGAGTCTGCCAACGTTGAGTTTGACGACCTCATGAACGTTCAGTCACAATTCGAGCAAGTCCTCGAACGCAGTGCCGATGGCGTATCCCTACCAATGGAGATGAAGCGTTCCGAGTCTTCGATACGCGATCTACGCACCATGGTTCGGTACTCGGAATTGCCACAGAGAGACGAGCTGGTGTACGAGTTCAACGAGTACATCGATACCGCCCGCTTGACGGCCTCTGACTTGCAAAAGTTCAACGTTCATGTGGGATCCGCCGTCGACTCCGTTATCTCGATCAATCGTTGGACATCTCGCTATCTCGATACCCTCTCTGCATCAGAGACGACAGAGGTAGGACTGGTTTCCCAGTGGTCCAGCTGGCTCTTCTACCCCTTTACTCCCACAGTGACACCCTTCTCCGAACGGACCCTTCTCGACAAATACATCGAGCACACCGCCCTCGTCTCTGACCGGATCTCCTCTCTCATAGTAGAAGCGCAAGGAGTTCTGCTTCTACTCACAAAGGCGGAGGAGAACCTGAACCAAATTTACGAAATCGTCACTCGCTCGTCGAATTCGGTAAAATCCCGTCGAGACGAGGTGCTCTGGACGTTGTGGACTCTTGTCGGTGCGAATAACAAACGCCTGCATAACCTCAACGCCCAGCTCTCCCTCCTGCGCCAGGTGGATAGGCAGCGCGTCACGGCTGTTGCGCAGATATCGGCTCTTATTGTGGACCTTGAAAAGATCCAGGCCGGGCTGGGTGACCTCCGCGACCGCGTTGCCGCTCCCGAACTCGTGCGTGATTCGGCCATAGCAATCCCGTTGACAGTCCACATTGAGACTATCGATCGTGGAGTCGAACGACTTGAGGATGCTCGTCAGCGGATCCGCGCCGCCGAAAACGACCGTATCCGCGAAGCGCTGGCCAGAGGAGGCACAAAGGAAGACGACAAGCTCATTGAGGGACGTTCATAATGAGAGAGGGCAGAGAATGTAGGAAGGAATACGGCAACACATGGAATTGCCAAGACATGACGAGTGGATGAAAGTTAAGATTTCGGGTGTTTATAATGCATAACTGAAAGTGCTTGAGACGATCAGTTGGCCCGGCTTGGCGAAACAAATGAGATGAAAGCTGGCATATACCATGATTCGGATGAAACGACAATAGCGAAAATACCACGTGTGGAGAAGTCTTATATTTTGTATGACAAACGGAATAGAAACGAGTCCGATTGGGGTACCTCTTGTTAGACTCAGTATATTTGGTGATTTTGTCCTGGCTTGACACGCGCAAAAGACTGGCCTGAACGGGATCTAGCCTTGAAGGGAAAATACAGTCAGGGTATATAATCCAACAAATTTATCTCTTAGACCGTGAAAGGTCTCAAGTTTTGATTTCATTGCCTGCTGTCTGGCCGACACAAGACTACCTAGTCTGAGCAGTGCACAGCTGCCATCACTGATTTCTACGTAACTTTTTCAATTCATACCCTCCTCCAAATCGCCGTTGATGCTTAACCGTGCCGATGGGGTATATCCAGTCCAAAAGCTTGGGCTCTTTACAGCAGCCCAAGAGTAACATTCCGTGCCAAAATGTAGCAATCCGAGGGCCAATCTGGGCCCACCGAGTCTATCGTCGTGATTGTGAAATGAAAGTCTCCTCACCCCTCCCTCAGAGGTAGGTACCAGGGAGTGTCGTAGATATGCATCGTGATGTTATTCCCTTGTGTGCCTCTCAAAAGTTCCAAAAGGCAGTCCTACTGCCTGATCCTAAACGCCATTACACCATGCAACTCCGAATTTGATGGCATGCTTCCAGTGCATGCAACTGTCATGAAAATCCTGGGAAAACCTTGACGACATAACGTTTCCCTGCAACCTAGGTCAGAACATGTGCTTCATGTCGCATGGAATTTGTACTTACACGCTGGATTGCGACCATCTGGGTCGTCAAAGGGCGTACCAGCAAGCGCTCTCATTCGCGCTCTTGCCAACTGAGACGGGCTCTTTCGTCCTTCAGGCCGTGGATGGTTCTGATGCGAGTCTGATCCAGGCATATGGAGCCGCAGTCCACCTGCTTTCCGGCGTTTATTCTGATGAACAGCGGCTTGTCTGGGCGGCTGGGGTTGCGGATGTGGCGGGTCTTGACCTTCGGATTGACTCGAGGGTTGGTCCGAATCTTCTTGCTCCTCTTGGGTCGGTTCGAGGGCACGTTGTGTAGTGGACAGGGGTGCAGCTTCGAGATCCACCGGCGTATCGACATTTGCTGACTCCTGCACTGTTTTCGGGGACTTGGAAGTCAGAACGGGCGTCATGGGCGTTTCTGTCGGGGATGATGCCGCTTTGTCCGTGCCGAATAGCCGCTTGCCCCAACGCTTGCTTTTCACCTCCCCCTCTTCGTCGTCTGACTCGTCAAATACTACCCGTTCCCTCAATCGTCGAATGGCCCTCTCACGGCGTACCATGCCATTGGTGATCTTGGGACAGTAGTTCGGTGGGAGCATATTCCTCTTACAGATTGGGCACAGTGAGCTGTTGAGACTTAGAAACTCGTCGATACACTCGGGGTGAAAGATGTGGCCACAAGGCAATTCGCGGATGACGGAGTCCCGGTCGACGTAATTCTCCAAGCAAATGTGGCACTGGGGCTGATAGTTCGTGGCAACGGTGCTTTTTGAGCTGTTGACGCTGGCTCTTCGGGCCCTCGATCTCGGGACGGCGGATTCTGATATTGTTCGCTGGTCAGTCCGCATGCTTCGCGGTGACCTCACGGACTTGGGTGGCCTTGTAGTAGAAGGTGTGCTGATCATTTCCGGCTGGAAACTGTAGGTGAAAAGTGGGAAGCCCTTGACGTGATCCACGGGTACGGTTACTCGTTTAATTCCCATCGCTTCCAGATCAACCTCGCCGCTCAGCACCCTTCTTCGTAGTGAAATTCTCCGTCTTCTTTGTACTAGGTGCATCGTGAGTGATAGACACGCGATGATGAATATCACAACGCCAACGACCGTAAGAATCCATGTCCACATAGCAGGGACACTGTCACGGTCCTTGATGGTTAGTTCTGTCCATATGCGGACGTAATCATTATCGTGGGGGTCGTAGATCTCCTGGATTTCCTCCCCATATGGGATCTCGGAGATGTTTCCAGAATACAAGCTGAGCTGCTTCATGAATTTGGTGCCCTCGGCGCCTGGCACGGCGAAAATCGGAAAACGGTTCTGGGTTCGCCATGCATCACCATCTTCAAGATCCCATATCGGGGAATCAGCGCCTTGTGGTTCGTTGGTCGAATTGTTGGGCCGGTAAAAGATGAAGGCGCGGATGGGGTCGAGGCGTGCAGATGCAAGATAAGCCTTGGTGCAGGTCGCGTTAAACCATGGCGCAATGGCAATTAGGTTATAGTTGGTAGGAGGAAGTTCTGCCTGTGTAGTGGCATTTCGGGGGATTATGTCGTACTGCTGCTCGAAACACGGGTTTGTGACGCTGAGATCGGGGACGTATAGCAGACCTCGGATGATGCCATCCTGCGTTTCGGTATTTGTCGTGCTCAGCGTGGTGAGGTTTGCTGTGATGGTGTCCTGGTAGGCTACCTTGCTCTGTGCACTTGGTTTAGATCAAGACTTGGAATAAGAATGATGGCGACGAGACATACCGACAGAGAGGTGATGTTCTTGATGAGAGTCGAGGGGACGGTGTTCGCGCCCGACCAAACAGGGTTACTGAACAGCAGACTGTGTAAAGGTCAGCTGGTGATTGAAGATACACAAGTGGTTGGGGAAATGCGGGTGGTGAGGCATTCGCGCCAAGGTCTGCCCACAGAGGAGCTGCGAGGCACAGTGACGCGGGCCAAGGCAGCAGCAACGTGATGCGACGAGATGATGAAGGAGCCAACGGGAAAGCAGCAGAGAAGCGTGCGCATCAATGAAGAATACGGTGACGATAGCATCGAAAGCAGCGGGCATCTGAAAGGAGTTTTGCTGAGACATACACGACATTTCGAATCTGTTCGAGAGCTGTGAGACGTCAGTGAGTTGTGCCAAGACCGGGGGATTTTGGCACCTCTTGGCCGCCGCGAAAAAGAGATAGAGAGCACGGCAGGCGTTCACCTGCTTACTATGGGCAAGATGACCAGAGGCATGATTTTCTATGTGTGTATTGTACAGAAAGTGAAAAGGGCATATAATGACTTACACATGCTTCCCTCACATGTTCAACGAACGGGTTGAGGGCATTGAAACCATCAACCTGGTGTGAATAAATCGTGGGTGGCTGCTCGGGAAGTGGAATGAACACCAGCTTTCAGGTGGGATAACCAACAAACGAGCGAGGCGGAAATGCCCGGGAAATCGGTGTCGTCGGAGATCTGGTTAAGAGATTCACGGCTGACTCGGTCTGAAGACGACGAACGGAAAGTAATAGTGCGTAGTGAGTCGATTCAAGGCGGAGGCTACAATGTGAATGCTCGAGGATAAGGTCGAGTCGCGATCCGAGGCGAAAGGGATGAGATTGGTGAAATGGCAAGCAGAAGGTGATCAAAAGGCGAGCTGAGAGAGAAGCGATTGAATGGGAAGTCAGCGAGCTGGGGCAGGCGCGATTTTCAATGCCAAGCGGGGTTCAGGTCAGGTCGTTCCCAGTGCGCTTGCTGCAGGTGCGCTCTGTATTCGTACACACTGATCAGGTCAAAGGGAAAGCAAGGTCAGGTCCAGGTCCAGGTCCAGGTTCGGGTTCCAGGTTGGGGGGTGAGAGAGTTGGGTGTGGGAATCGGGTGTGTACTGTGAAGAGTGTGTGTGTGGTGGTGGTGTTGGGGGAGTTTTGGGAGAGAGAGAGAGAGAGAAGGGTGGTGGCCGGGTGGCATGGTGGATGACTTTGAACGACCGGGCAGACAGACTGAGGACCAAATGGCTGGAGCATGGGGCAGGAGGTACGAAGTACTCCATACAAGAATGACGAGGACGGGAGAAGTATCCGTAGCCAAATTGGCGGTATCGGATCACCGGCAGAGTGCAGCGTCGGGCACCAAGAAGCAAGCCTCAAGGTACTTTGCACATACCTTACCTGGCCGGGCTTTGTATGTAAAGTACCTAGGGGCGAGGGAACTGATGCACAGCCTCCCTGCCCTGTCCTCGCACTTGCACTTGCACTTGTCCTCGTCCTCGTCCTCGTCCTCGTTGTCGCTACCTGCCTGTCCCAGAAAAGGAAGAGCAGGTACTCTCAATGTACCTTTCGTTGGCTATTAAACTGCTTCGTCTTCCATTGCCCGTGGCCACCGCACACCGTTAGTGAGCTACCTGCCCAGTCGTTACCGCTGGCGTTCCGGCTGGCGTCTATGGTGTACATCCTCCAATACGCGGGCTGTCTTCTGCTTTGTTACTTCTAACGAGGAATGGGCGTTACATGATGCACTTGACAACGACCTGTGAGAAGTGGATTCGAGTACCAATGGGTAACATGAACAGCAGATTGTGGACACCAGTCGACTGAAGAGCGTTCCAGGTTGAATACGGTGCAAGTGCGGTAACAGAGTCAAGACAGTTGGAGGACTCTCATGATGCGCGGATGGAATTGGACGCAAAGATGCAGCCAGTTGGTTCGCAAGTACGGCACCGTACGGATAGGCTGGCAGAGATGGTGGAGTGGATCGCGATGGGGACTGTTGAAAGTTCCCCCGGTAGCCAGTCAGGACTCAGGAGGTCGTCAACCACACCTCACAACTCACGCTTCAGAGCGAGCACAACTGTAGGGTACAACATCCCCAGTTGGACGAGGCAAGAGAAACACGGCGGACCACTCGGAAGTAAGGGAAACGGGAGAGAAGACATGTACCGGCGAGTACCTGCTGATGTACATCCACTACCTGCCTACCTCACACACACACACACCTTACCTAAGATATGGATGAAAGGCACTACCACAGTTCCAATTGCTGCTGTGTGCTCCTTCCCTTCTGACTAGGACTCTGACTTTTGTCTACGTCTCCAGATGGGACCCTAGAGTCCTTTCGTCTACCTTACCATCAGCAAAGCACCTGGATTCGAACATTCACAGATCGTTTCTGGCTTCCCGTTCCCGTGGCTGCTCACAGGAGCTGTTCACCTCAGCCGAACGACCCGCACAACATGGAATCAATCCCTTGCGCGTGAAGTGTATCGAGGCCCGGCATGCACCAACTCCAACTGCATCATCCCAGCGTATTCGAGGAGCCGAAGAACCGAGCTCTTATCACGACACAACCACCCAGTGACCACAAACTCCCACACAACTATTACGGGATGCCGGCGGGCAGATAAAACCAACAACAATTTCAACCACCAAAGCGGCTATTTTCTATACTATACCTACTGGGCCCCAAATGGCCCCAAAGACCCTGTACCTGCAGCCCTGCATTTGCTCGCGCGACTACACTAGCACTCGAAAGTCGACGTTGATACGCATACAGAAAGAAAATGGACAAACCACAGCCGTTTTCGATCTGCAAATCAATCATTTTGGTGCCGCTCTTGCCGTTGGTGTCGGTCACCGCATGCCACAAACAATCAAAGGAAAAAGTAAAACAGTCTCATTACATGTCCCCCGCCGTGCCGTCTTAGCCTGCACATCACACGCCCACGGATACACGGCATCCCCAGCCCAATCCCTCGCCCGACGCCCATCGGATCGCATGTCATCGTGGCTAAGCTTTTTCGTTGCCTCGATTCCCTCGAAAGCTTGTCTGATCTTCCAACGACCTACCCAGTTCCCCCGTGCCGGCTCCCGCTTCCCATCCTCGCCGCATCGGCTCAAATCACTACGGCACCCGCTTGCCTTCTACATTTTTCTCACTAGCTATGAAACCTCATAGGCTGACATGATGGGCCCGTTCCACATTGATAGCCCCAGGAGAATGGTCTTCCTAGTCTTTCTCATCCGGGGAACGATTCGTGGCCTCCTTCTGATCCCCTCCCGCTAAAATAGCAGACTACTACTGTCTACGTACCGCGTGTCTTAGCGTGGAAGAGAGAGAGATGGAAAATCAAGAGGGTCACCAACTGCTCTGGGCCTTGCCGCTGCCGCCTTCGGATACGGACGCCAGCATCTCTCCGTTCAGGCTGACCAACAGAGTTGTCGAGTCTTCTCTGGTCCATCGTCTGTAACAACAGTACCCGTGACACAATGCCCGATCTGATTACGACCAGTTCTCGACTGTCGAGCTTTTCCCCTTAGCTTCGTCGCATCGAAGTCTCTCACACCTCCCCCTTTTCCACTTGGGATTTTGAGTTTCTCCCACCACACGGGCCCGGTCTACAGTCATGGGCAAGTTGTGCCGACAGTTCCAGACGTTTTGCACCAGCCGATGTGCGTGACAGCTCGACCACGCCCGCCCGGTCGTTCTCGGCATTCAATCTCTCGGGTCTCCCGGTCTGACGGCACCTTTCGCGTGGCTCTCTACTATACGATCGACGGTCGTTATACATGTATAGCGCTTCACTCAATATCAACAATGCGCAATTCGCGTCTCGGGAAGTATTCTTCTCAGCGCCACGGGGTTAACAGGGTTTCTGGAGGGAAAAAACATGGGCGGCTTCGCATCATTATTGCTCCAAGGCACAGCATAAGATCGTACCATTTGGGCGCGTAGTACGACGCCAACCAAATTGGTGGTCTGCGGCTCAAATCGACGCCTTTGCCAAACAGCACCGCTGCAAGACGCTCGACTGCATATGGCCGCCAATAGCCTGGACGTGCACTCTCAGACCGCCCACTTGGCGCTCGACCATGGAAAGCGCACATTGCGTGGCCTGCGTGCTGCTATCCTCCACAAGGGCCAGTGCCTTTTTTCGCTGTACCAAATCGGGATGGATACTGGCCGGCACCAACATCAGCACTCGGGATCCTACGATGTCTCTCCCGCTGCAAGTCAATCAGCGGGAAAAGCTTCTAGCCACCGGACCCTTCCCTCTAGTCCCGATGACTCGACCTCCGCCCGTTCTTGGCATCCCGACTTCATACCTCTCCAGGTTTGCTATCCCTTCAGATGGCAACGAGCCTCTCACAGACACCATGTCTGCAATCAACTGGCTGATCAATTCGGAATCACCCAGCATACCATTCGGTTTTCTGGCTTTCCCGCTACTCGTCGCGATGCTACTCTGCAAACTTCCTCCGGCGTCCGGACTTAGGCACCTTGAAGCAAAGGTACTTGGAGAGTACCAGCGCTAGGTTCCCCTCACAAACGCGGGTGCCCAAGCAGACGTCATTGAAACATTGGCTGCTCCCTGGGTCAGATCCACCGGGGACAGGGGCTATCTCCCACACCTACGGTTGGCAATTTTACTGCTCTACCTACCCTTGCTGGTAGAGAACACATTTTCCGGCGAAACTGGTCTGGTCTCATCCGGAATGTTGCGTGCTTCACCAATCTGAATAATTAGTTCTTCAACAATCACCCTGACTCCTTCCATGCCAGCCGAAGATGCCGGACAGCCGCTCTTGGTTCCCCAGCGCCGCTCTCGGCAATCTGGAGGCTCCCGGCGGCGGCGGTCTGGCGCCGTTCTGTTGTCTCAACCGGCAAAAAAAGCCGATCGACCCTCTACGTCACGTACTAGCCCGTCGCGTGATTCGTCAAAGCATCTAGGCTGGCTGCGACACTGATACGCCCGAGAACAATGGCAACGCCAGAGGAATCTTTTGACGGGCTGCCACTGAACCCTACTTTTGACCGCGCGTCTTTTGCACAACGTTGGCGGATTCCACGATATGGCAGGTATTCGCCTTTTGAGGCTGTGTCAAGATTGCTGAGGATTCTTGGGCAAGATTTAGTTCTCAGGTGAACATCTTGGCTCTGGCTTGGCTTCTTATAATCCGCAATGCCATGGCCTCAAAAAAACCAGGAACGACGGTGTCTATTACCTGCCCAGCACACAGCCACGCAGCACAGCCAACCTGGATAGCGCTCATCTCAGGAGGCAACATAATGGCTAAAGAAAGTATGTCTCAATTGTGTTGCGAGATTCATACGTCTGTTTAGCTGCGCTACGAAAGATCAACGGCGGAAGGGGCCAATCTGCTCGCTTGTGTTCATGTGTCGCCACCACCAATATGAGACGGACGTCTTAGATGAGCTGATTTCAACCCTTTCGTGAACTCATTTGATGACTCTGTAAGCTCGCTACGAAGGCTCTCTCAGTCAAAATTGGCCCCAAACCCTGCGAGGCTGTTAGGTGAGAAGGCTTGCCAAGGTGTTCTAGCACAAGGTCGCTCAGGAACATTTCTTGGCCTTTGATGCCAGATGGCATATCTGACTTGCAGCTACGGACGTAAAGTGACTATACATGCTCCAGCCTCGACATACAATTCAGTGTGAGCTCCGAACCCGCGGAGCAGATCTGAGTCAACATCGACACTGGAACTTGAAGTCGGAACTCGAACATCCTCAGGCCCCGGGGAGCAGATCACGTCCCCCCCGGTCCATCACTGGCGCCTACAGCCGCTCTTGTTGGTAATCTCCGCCGGGCAAGTCACCTGACGGAAGGAGACGCTCGGGTTATCGGCACCCTTGAACCAGTCGAAGCGCCAGTAGCACCCGGCCTTGAGCTTCGCGGGAAAGCCGTCGCACTCGGCGCGGGAGCTGACGCCGCCGTACCGCTGGCCCCACCCGTTGGCCGGCGCTCCGTACTGATCCGTGCAGGCGTTGAATTGGCCCACGCCGCCGCCGGGGATCTGTTGATACAACCACGTCAGTGTACTCTGTTGTCTTTTTACGGCACTCTGTGCTTCGGGGACAGGCAGTTCTTTATCTCTGTGTCGTATCAAGGGACTCGTCCTCCACACGTTGTTTCCTTCCGGTAAGTTGATTTTCGTGATAGAAATAGTCACCAGGTGAGGGAGCGTCGACATCCTCTCGTCCCCTCTCGTATACGTTACCCAGCGGTTTTCCAACGTATCTTGTAACTCTCCGGGACGTCTGGGACGAAGGAATGATGTGAAAAGAAAAGCAGAGGAAACCAGAGAAAATAAAACAAAACTCACCGCAATGTCAAAATGATTCTGCCCCAAATCCCCCCCCGTATTCGTAGCCTGCACAACCATCCTCTTCCCCGCCACCGCGCCGCCCGTGAACGTCAGCTCGTAGCACGCGCAGCACCACTGCGCCTCCGTCCCGCCCGCGATCCGCACGGCCGCGAAGCCGTAGGCCAGGTCGTCCGAGACGGCCCAGGGCGACTGGGCGCTGCACATGTAGGCTCCGCCACCGGAGTCGCACCCGCTGCGCGTGGCGCCGCCGTCCGATAAGGGGTTGTCGTTGCGGTCGCAGGTCGTCACGGGCCCGGCGGCGAGGGAGGAGGCGGGGATCTTGCCGGGCCAGGCGCAGGAGGGTTTGCAGCAATCCCAGTAGCGGGTTGTTGTTCCTGTGCCTGTGGATTGGGCTTGTACTTGGTGGGAGAGGAGGATGGGGAGGAGGAGGGTTAGGGGGGATGTGAGGTGCATCTTTGGGGAGGTAAACTGAGGCTTGAGTTCCGATATTTGTGATTCGAGAGACTTGGATGGTTTCTTCGTGGTATGAGATTTGTGAGGAGCTACTCGAGGATGTGACCGTGAGTTTTATATACGGGGTGAACGTGATACTGGTGAAGAGACTCGAGGACAGAGGTGATGAGCTTGTGTATCATATATCGTACATCGTATAATTCAAAAGAGCCACGATCCTCTGGCTAATGACGGGGAAATAAGCAAGAACAACATATACGACACCAAAGAAGGAGAGCTCGCCTCCGCTCCGTTGGTCACCTTGCTCAAGTTCCTAATTCTTCTTCTACTCTTTTCCCTCCGTGTTTTCCTCTCTCATTCACATGGTACCTTGTCATCAGGGGTCAAAGTCAAAGAAAAGAGCGGGATCCAAGGTGAAAATCGAACATTTACCCAAATTTAACCGAACCAAAAGAACAACGATGATCCCACCATCATTTACCCCTCCAGACTTTTGAATGTTTGCGTGGTAGTCGGAGGATGGGGGATAAAATAGGTTTGGATCAATCTACCAGAAACGGAAAACCACCAGACCAAGACGTGGAATAAAACCCTCAATAAGATCCTCCTGCTTTTTGTATATCGTCAAATCACCTCATCAAAAACCATAACCTAGAATCTCCCATTCTCACCATCTACTCGGTAAGCACCTGGCGAGAAAAAAAAATTCAACCGTGCCGAACGCTTCGGCATGACGGCCACACGTCCCGGCTCTAGATCAGGTTGACTACGACTCTTTTCCCCGCAAAACCCGTTCGCTGGCGATGGCTGCCGTGCCGTCCATCTGGACACTAGGCAGGGGAGGGGGATTAGAACGGAAACAGAGTCACATTCGGAACGTCTCTGCCATGTTCCTCCCTTCTCCATGTGGTAAGATCAATCAGTTCGGCTCAACTGTCCCGTTTCTTAGCTGGCGTGTGGGGAGGAAAGTCACGGCACTTGATAGCCCTGATGAATGATCGAAATCCAGGTCGACCATCACCCAAGCTGCCAACGATAGTAGAAGACTGCTGCCCGGACTCAGCAACTCGTTTACATGTTCAAATGTCATCAACACATTGTGATCCTCACCCTGTACCCTTCACATCACATGACACACACAAAACGTTTGGACTCATAGTCAGAAGCAAGACTTTTTGTTATTGTTCTTCGTTAAACCTGTACCCGTAGCTTAAACCCCCAAGCTACCCCTGTTCATAAGCCAGTCGTCATCATCTACCAGAATACAACCGGCAGCAATCTTTGCCAAGAATCAAGAGAAACAGCCGCAGCGGTCCTACCATCTGCGGTTATTGTTGTTGTTGTCGCCAAACTGCTCAGCGACCTTGCCAATGAAGTCGCCGAAGCCGCCGCCGCCGCCCTCGCGGCGCTCGTCATCATCGTCACGGCGACGACCGTGGTGCTCCTCCTGGCGTCCATAGCCGCCACCCTCGTTGTCGTCGCGTCTACCGCCGCCGTAGCCGCCCTCGTCTTCGCGGCGGCCACCTCCGTAGCCACCACCGCCGCCACCATATCCGCCCTCGTCGTGACGACGTCCGCCGCCATAGCTCTCCTCTTGGCGTCCACCGCCATAACCACCGCCGAAGCCTCCCTCATCTTCGCGGCGGCCACCTCCGTAACCACCACCGCCACCACCATAGCCGCCCTCGTCATGACGACGTCCACCACCACCACCGTAGCTCTCCTCTTGGCGGCCGTAGCTGCTCTCCTCATGGCGACGGCCACCGCCGTAGCCGCCCTCGTTATCATCGCGTCTACCGCCGCCATAGCCGCCGCTTCCACCATAGTTGCTCTCCTCTTGACGACGGCCGCCGTAGCCGTCGTTCTCGTCGCGTCGGCCACCACTGAAGCCAGACTGAGTGTTACCCTCGTAACGGTGAGTCTCGGTGCGCTGCTCATAGCCACCACCGTAAGAGGGACGGGTCTCGGTAGTTTCCTCGTACTCGCGGCCGCTGGTTCGGCGTCCGCCAGAGCTGTCTTCCTGCTCATACTTGCGGTACTCGGTACGGCTGCCGCCACCGGGGTACTGGGTCTCGCTGTACTCAGCCTGACCATACTTGTTTCCGTGGCGGCCGTACTCAGTCGTAGTCTGGGTGTAGCCGCCATCGTCGTCACGGCGGCTGCTGTGCTGTGTCTCCGTCTCGTCCTTCTTGAAGACACCTCCAAGAATGGATCCGATAAGACCACCGGCGCCGCCGCCACCACCACCGCTCTCCTCCTCCTCCTGCTGGTGCTTGTACTTGGGGACCTTAACCCCAGTCTGCTGACCAACAAGGTTTGCGATGGCACCGGAAGCACCTTCGAGAATGGCGCCGGCAGCCTGGTCGGCAACCTTGTCTTCCCAGTTCTTGGGCTCGCCGAACTGCTTGCGCATGTGGAGCTTTCCGCTGCAGCCGTGGCCGTGTCCAGTGTCGTGGACACCCTCTTTGTGGTTCTCACCGCGCTGAACACCCTCGCGACTCAGCTTGCGGCGGTAGTCATCCTGCTGGCTTCTGTCCATGTTGTTCCACCACTCCTCAAAGAACTGGAAGATTTGCTGACGGCCCTCACGAGCGCCATCGTCTCCCATGTCACGCTGTGCAGGGTGGTGCAGGACGCCAAAGATAATGCGGTTCAAGGTGCGATTAACATCGACGCTGTCGTTATCGATGGCCTCCATGAGCTGGGGCACAACCCACTGGAGAGTCTTGGCAGCACAGCGGCCAGCAACCTCGTTCAAGATCTATCAACATGTTAGCCACCAATTTCGCCTACTGGATGAATTTTTCCTTACGTTGGTGAAGTGGTCCTTGGACAACATGGAGTGGGTAGGGTCAGTGCTACGGTCATCGTCAAAGACGACGTGTTGCTCCTTCTCACTGCTTTCGATAATCTCGGCGGAACCAGTGCGCAGCTCGTTGCGGATCTGGTTGATGACGGGAATAATGAAGGGGGCGATGACCGAGAAAACAAACTTGGACAGCTGCTCCTCAAGCTGCTCAAGAATCTTGGGCAGAACGGGAATCTTCTCAATGGCCTCAGAGATACCCTGCAAGATCTCGTCGTGGAACTCGATGGCAGGCATGATCTGCCTGAAGACATCCTGGATGTACCGGGTGTACTCCTCAGGCTCTCTGGGAGAAACCTGCATGTTCTGGAGCTGCGACGAGGTCGCGTTGCTCTGGAGCTCGTCCACCCGGTTGCTCTGGTGCTTACCGCCAAAGATACCATCGGGAATCATGTCCAGAAGGTTACGCAGAATGCTGGTATCGCTGTTCTTGCTCTCCTGGAGAGTACCCTCGAGCTCCTCAATCTCGTTCTGGGTCAGCTTGTCGGAGACTGGTCCTGTTAGCTGCAATCTTGTGTTGAGCATTTCAAGAATATGTACCTTCGCCAGTGACGGAGTGAAGGAAGTCAACACCTCCGAAGGTGCCGGTGACAATTGGGTAAACATCGCCTCTAGCTCCGTTCAGCTGAATCCGAGTGTCACGGCCGACGTGGGGGAAGACATCGCGCTCGCCAAGCTCAATCAGAGCCAGCTCGCAGTAGTTGCTGTGGGCGAAGAAATCTGTACCACACTTCGTTAGCGATATTCTCTCATGGTTTCATGAATCATGTGATTGAGCCACGCACCCTCCAAGCAGTGAAGACCAGTACCCATGAGGCGCATGGCCTCGTACAGATCAGCCTCATTCTTATTGCGGGAGTATCCGCGGGCCAGCTCGATGCAGCGGGCAAACAAGTTGCGAACGTGGGCGGCAGAAGTCATGATACCAGCCTGCTCGTTCGCGATGTAGTTCTTCATGCCGGACTCGCGGTCAATGCCAAGCTCGACGTTCTCATCGACGGGGCCTCTCAGACGGCTGTCGTACTGGCGGGCATCCACGTTATCGGCATAGTTCTTGGGGTTGTCGATGTGGTCTTCGGGGCGGTAGCAGCCAAGACGGTCGGCCGTGACCTCGAACTCCTTGGATCCGTAGCCAAAGGTCAAGAAACCCAAGACACAGAGAAGGAGACGAATGGCCTCGGCGGAGACGGACTTGACGGTTCCGACATCAATGGCCTGGGAGTAATCTCTGAGCCAGTTGCCAAAGTAGACACGGGAAACCATCATCTTGCTGAACTTCTTGCCGCCGATGGCGCGGGCCATGGCAAGGGTAAGGAGGGCATCTTCAATATCGCCGTGGCGCCCTGTGTGACAGAAGAGTTAGCGGATCTGCTCTCCCCATTAGACAATGGCGGGTGGGAGGGAAGGAGCTCACAGTTCTGGCCCTCGATCTTGGAAATGCTGGCAATGTTACCAGCTCCGAAGGCGTAGGTTGGCTGGGCAAGGCAGACCAGCACAAGCAGGCCGACCAGCAGCGGGTAGGACCTGGCGTCGAGCATGTTGATTGACTTGTACCTCTCGTGCTGCTCTTCTCTCTCCTCTTCTGATATTTAGTAGTGTTTATTTGTTGTAAGTCTGTAGAGACTGTTTAGTGACTTGGTCAAGGTGAAGTGGGGTTTGCGCAGAAGCAAAACAAAGTTATGATGACGGGAGGGAGGGGGGAGGTCATTGAAATAAGGAGAGAGATATGACACAAGCAAGGGGCAGTAAAGAAAAGGAGGGGCCTTTGATGAGGGCTGGAGGCGGTGGAGGGGCAACACGACGGCGTAACTGCGTTCTTCCAAGCTTCGGGAGCATGGGGGAGGGGGACTGGAACAGGAACTTGATGGAGCTATCAGAAGCCAGGAACAGGAGGCGGCTCGAGTGAAGAGGAGGGCGCCGACAGACAATCTTGGAATCAAGACCAAGCACCATTCTCCGTACACACGTCTGTGAATGCTGTGTGACTGTCTCTCCATCCAATCTTGACCAGCCCAGTCCAAACCGCCATCTGAGGCTTCCATCTTGTCACTGCCCCTCCTTCACGCGCACACACGTTCCTCCCACCTTGGTTCCCGTCCTCTGTTCGCAGCGTGTTTTGCGGTGGTTTGTGGTC